TCTGTCCGTTTTTGGCTTATACTTAATATATGTAATCGGAATGCATCAACAATCAACATAAAAATCTACAAAAGCGCTCACTTTTTTCACACACTTTTTCATTTTGCCTGGGAAGTTTTTTAGGTCCATCAGCGCCTGTTAATCGTCTAGCTCACTTACATATATTGTTTGGTGGAGTAATATACATTCTGTTCAATAATTTAAAAATTCATAGAAGGTGAAACCAAATCAGGCACCTACCGGAAAATAATACCTTTCGAACAAAAGAAGAATCATTCAAATTGGTTGAGAAACATAGGAGCAGTAGGGAGGAATATATTTGTATGGGATTTCGTTAGCGTATTAATATATAAGATAGTAGATGGTGAAACCAAAGCAGGAATTCATAGGCTTATACGGAAATTGGAGTAACTCGGCTCTGGAGCCACCTATCGGGTCCAATTTTTGCAAGTGTATTATTTATATTGAGAAAAAATGTGCTTTATCATTTATCACTGCTATACTCGTATTATATGTAAATAATGGGGCATATTCATAGTTAAAATAAAGTCGACACTAAAGTTAGTTACAGCTTTTTCACATCATTTTCAGTTTAATATGTATCTGCGAAAAAAGCTGCAACTAACTTTCTTCTTATTTGGGACTGACAAATTGATCAGCGTTGCCGTTTTGCTTAAATTTAAGCAAAATTGCTTAACTTTTTCCTGACTGTTAAAATGTTAAACTTTTCTTCGGTTTGCTAAATATTTTTATTAAAATAGTCAAAAAGGATAATTTTCCTCAAAAATTCATAGTCAGAAGAGTTACTATTTCAATAAATTTTTCAAATGTATTTTAGGAAGACTGTCATCCAGATCCCACATAAAGTTCCAGCAAATGTTGCTCTAGGCAATTCCCGATCTGCGGTCGTCGCATTTTCAAACCTCCGGGTGTACTTCTGCCATGCAATCGCTTCTCATAAAAACCATTTGCCGTTCGGATGCGACCTAGAACTTTAGGTCCCTTCATTTGCGTGAAAAGATCAACACGCACATTTTGGATAACATGATGCCTAACTCGTTTTTTTCATGCATTCAAAAAACTAGCGAAAGGGCAGATAACTATTATAGGAGTATGTGTTGAAAGCCTGAAAGAATGTGTAACAGTTTTCAAATTTAGCAACTGTTTGGCCCGATTTCAGATGGCCTACTTAAGTAGAGATTGTTGATTAATTTCCACTATTCCTTTTCAGATCATACATTTAGTGTGTACTTAAATTGCCAATTTTGCTATTTAAATATGAGATATGCAACCCCGTGTTTATACCAAACAACCAAGATTCATTGGTAGGTTGTTTAATCAAACTAACCAAGTCCCACCTAAAACAATCAGCTGTTCAGCAGAAAATGTAAACAAACATGCAAATGCAACAACAATTTCAAGGAATAAGCAGCAGTGCTGCCAATTGTTTGGCATATTTTAACAAAGTTGATCTGAAACCCAACTAAAGCTAAATGGCATTTAAACAACAATCCACAATTAAACTTAAGTGCCGTTTAAATATTCATTTGAAATTGGCCCTTAGACTATAACATCCTTACTTTTGACGACAAAACTCAGCCTTAGAGAGCCTTTACTTACTGACTTGCTTACTTTTTATTTTTATAACCAATTTACCAAGCTCAGGAAGAAACAAACAGTAACTCAAGGCATTTTTCGTTTTAATAAGACCCGATAAATAAGTTGCTTAATTTTAACGGGATTTGTTAAACTTTTTGAAAGATTTTTTTAAACTTTATTTTTCGGGCGCGGCAACACTGAAATTGATAACGTTCTTACATGCATACATACATATATAGGTATGTGTACATATAAATGTACATATGTACAACTCACGGCAGCATACATACATATGCACATAATTACACGCATACTCAAAGCCAACAATAACTATTTCATTCATATTCGCATTCGCATATTTCTTAAGGTCAAGATCATTCATTCAAAATCCTACAGCAGCACATCTCCCCGCAAATTCATCACCTTCAAGCGCAACTTTGTCAATCCGACACAAAAATTCTAAAATGTAAAATTGCAGAAATCTCGGCCAACCAAGTGAAAAGTGGCACATATTTCTCTATATCCAGTAAAATAAGTTATCTCGAATTTTGGTAATTTTTGACAAAACACTCAATTTCTCTGTTCCCTTCCAATATTTCAACCACTACCTGTGTTTTAAGGTGTAATTTTAATAAACATTAGATATAAGTGTACGTTTTCTGCAGGAAAATACATTAATTTTTTTTTAATAAAATCAAAACTTCTAAAATCACACACATATGTGGTTTTATCGGAAGTTCACAAATGTAACGTGGCAACTTAGCTCGTTTTCACATTTTTCGGTCCGAAATTGTAAAATTTTTGTTCATGACGCGCCACGATTTTTGTACAGGTGGGTCAATGTGCCTTGAACACCATATGCATATATGCAAAAAAATTATTTGATTTATTTTTTAATTTTACAAATTTCTATACCTCTAAGGGCCGGTTGTTCAATGCCTGATTAGCACTAATCGGAGGTAGAAGCTCTGGTTAAATACAACGACTGTTTTATCGATCACATGTTATACGCATGATGTCGAAAACGTCGATAATGATGTTTAACCGGCAAGTAGTGATAACCAGACATTGAACAACCGGCCCTAAGAGTTTATAAATATATATTTATATATATTCACAGATTATTTTAAATTTTTTCAACCGTAACCAAATCTTCAGTACCATAAAAAGATTCAGACACATTATAGTACAACCAATGCGATGCCCAAGCTAGAGCTACTCCACTGTACATGTGCATATGTATATGTATGCATGTATGCGTGTAAAAAATGTCAATTCCAGTTTGCTTTTAACCCATTTTTGGTTCCAGCTGTTAATAACCACTATTTTACAACGTTTTTTATGTTTAATCTTCATGCAAGTTACATGTATCGTCGAGAACATGGTTACATGCAGAATTTTAAATTTATTATTATTATTCTCCATACAAAATGTACAAGTATTGCCTTATTAAATGCAAAGTTATGCGAAAATCTAAATGTCTCGTAAACGTGGGGTTAATGGTTTCGCGCACGTGCCAATCTGGAGCCGATTCGCAGAAATTGTATAATTTGTGATGATGGAAGCGGCGAGGGGAAGACGAAAGCAGATCAATCGTATATATGTATGTACATATGTACATTTATAAATGCATACATACTTACATTTTCATTTGTTTGTCTTTTTGGATGCATGAAATATTTGGTAGGAGAAATAGGCATCGTACAGTTCCATAAGTAAAGTAACTCTTCTTCTTACCGTTTTTTGTGGCAGGCTGTAGGTGTGATTTTGACAGGCTCTAGGTGTGTTTTTGCTAGTGTATTGGTGTATTTGCGTGGGAGTATTGGTGTGGTTGCTAGCCCAACTGACGTTAGAATGGGTTTTGTGAAGCAAAACTTCAGGATTCTGTGAAGCTGTTGCATCATTTTTTGAAGTTTAAATTTTCGAACCGGGTTGTAGTGTTATACTTTTTTCAAGTTTATATTCTTTAGATTTTTTGATTTGACATTGCAACTTAAACGCTAGTTGTGGCACAAATATAATTTAAAACATGTTAAAAAAATTGAGTTTTATGAAAAATATTTGTTTACAATTTTTTTAACTCTGAAATAAATTTTTATAAGCTAAAGAAACATCTTTTGATGTGTAATTTTTTATTTCGTACTATTGTGAGAAGGTAAGGCAACCCTCTTGGCATTTATTTCAGGTATTCAAATTGAAAAAAATAAGACGCAGCCATTCGGGCTTTTAATATTTTCTTTTAATAGAAAAATTGAATATCTTTCATAAAATATACATATTCTTATTGAACTACACATTTTGTTCAAGTAGTACCGTGTAGAAAGAATTCATTAGGTAAGTTATTTTAATGTATGCCATTTACATATGTATATGTATGTATATGCATGTACACATTTATTTCAACATAGTCGTTATAATTTTTTGTCTGCATCTTTTCAGAAGCAAAATGTTGAACAAAAGTTGTATCGTGGGATGTCCTCTGTATGCATTCCCTCCGATGGGAGAAATTACCAGGTGAGTACCCCCTCTTTGTGTCGGTGATCAACATTGTGGGCGTTCGCATCACAGCCAATGATTGCAGGAAGACGTCTCCTGCGACAGAAGTACATCAGCTGATGCACCTCCAGGGGCGGCACGTTGGCGTTGTCCCCCGACAAATATGCCGCAGCAAAGATGATACTGGATAAATGAAATACATTTTGAAGTTTTGCAATATACACGGATTGTTTAGTTATCTCTTCTAAATAAATTATAGTGTTGTCCAGTTAACAATAGTCAAAAGGCACGATTTTATTTTATAAACAGCAAGAATTATAATATTGAAAATATTCATAATCTAGCCATAACATTTTTTTAAATACGAACTATTTTTTATGTTCAAAATAATCTTCAAGTTACATGTATTGATAGTCGTTAGGATCCTGTTGTCAGGCGGGTCTCGTAGCTCCATCCATTTCAGTCGCCAGGGTGTTACTGGCTGACTGCCACCTATTTGGGTTCCACATTCATTGCATTTGCTTACTTCCATTGCACCGCCACACTCAGTTATCATAGGGTATTTGTACCAGTGACCTTGCTTGTAGCCCATTGCCTTGTGAATCATTTCGCGTTCGACTTTAATTTTTTCGAAGTGCTGCAAGCCGCTTATGCCCTTTTTGACTTCGGTTTCTAATTTGTTGGTGAACCTGTTGATGCTTATCAATTTCTTTGATGCTGAACTGAACTCTTTTTATTATTATTATTATTACCTTCTTACCTTCCTTTTATTAGCTCGGGATGTAACTATGTAATATTGATGCGCCTAAAAGATGCAGTGATTTCTATTCTCAAGTTACATACCTGATGACAGTACGAATGGCAATTATAATACGGAGGTTTTAGTTTTTTAGACTATAATTTTATTTTTCATGTGATAGTGTGTTGTATATGTAATTTTATTTGCATAACCACACGTTCCTTTGCATAAATGCTTGTACTCCAATTCGACTTTGCACGGTGCTTTGCAGTACTTCAATAATTGTCGTGAGCTTGGATCTACAATGGAAAATAAAAACGAATGTTAACTTCAAGAGTTATTTGCAATTGCATGAAACCCTGACCTGTCTTTTGAAGATAGCATGGTATTTTCAAAGAGTGCCCACATAGTGCAGGTTTTGCTAGGTTCACCAAGACCTTGCAGTCTGAAGTGCATGCCTCTTTGCATTTGTTAGTACAAAAGTGTCCACAAGGTAATAATTTAGGACATTTTCCCCTACATTTAGACGGCGCTGCTTTTCACTTCCACCATATGGTTGCAGGAACTCATCTTTTTTTCTGCAAAGTATTGGTAAATATAATGATCGTACGTAACGTATACAATTTATATGCAAAGCAATAGATTACCGAGAATGGACAGCTTCCGCATGGTTCGCACCATTTCGACGGGAACTTGTAACCACAGCTTAAGCTTAACTTGCGCTTGCAAGGTCTGTCGCACTCAATTTCCTCTACATTCTTCGAGAACACAAATGGCTTGAAATGATGTCCGCAAGAGCGGGTTTTCGCGACAATTTTTGGACACAGTCCGCATTCTTCGAAGCATTGTTTCTTACACGTGTGATTTTCCACACAATTGTCATAAATCCGATCGCAATCTCTGTAGCACTTGTACTGAAAACCAAATTTTAAATCAATAATTAAAAATAAAACATTAAGGGTGCATCTTCAATTATCGCACTAGTTTTAACAATTTGCTCAAAAACATAAGTAGGACACATTTAATTTAACCAAACTCATATACATACATATATGTACCTCGATATGTTCCGGGTCTTTGTTAACATGACACTTAAGCTGGCACACATGACCACACGGCAAACGTTTCTCGTAAGCATAAGTGCATATCGCATCTTTGATGGGAAGGTGACACGGCTTCTGGTTGAAGTGATTGCAGTCCGGCAATGTAGCTTCGACCTGAAAATTATAGTAAAGTTGTGGCGATTTCTAACTCGACGTCTTAGAATAAAATATGGAATTTGCTAATGTATCACACCTGAACATAGCATTTAAAATGTTTGCGGATCCGTGAAGCACTGCATATCTTCAATATGTACATACTAGCCACTATAGAATTCCTAAATCAACGGTCTATGAAATATCTAAAGTCATTAATAAACCATTTAAAGAATGTAGCAAGCTTACCTTTCGACAATATGCTCTTAATATCTTCACAAATGCACGGTATTGTATGATAATATAAATTTCACAAATGCATGTATTGTATAAAACCATAGTTGTGTTTTTTTACAAATTATCCAGTAACTTGCCAGCAACTCTTCAGTAACTTAATTTCTAAGAATTCGATCTCATAGAACAAATTTAGAAAAAAGTACGTGAACGCTTTTCCAGTAATAATTTGCAAGTTTCATGAACAGCATATTCCTAATAAAACAATATATTTTATATTTAAATATGTTTATTTTGTGAATTTTCACAATAAAAAGCCACAAACAGTTTCCTTATTAGTTTAAATTTCATCCAGCAACATGCGATCAGCTGTTTTTCGTGCTGGCAAATTCTTACAAGTAAAAATTTATCCAGTAAAATCCAGTAAAAACTTGCAACTTCAGCTGTCATTAGTTGCGTTTTTTTTTACTGATTTCCAGTAAAATCCAGTAAAAGTTTTTACGAATTTTCATGTTTTGGCGTTTTCCTACGCAAAAACTTGCAAAGTAGGGGAAATTGAGAGAGCGAAAAATGACAGTTGAAGTTGCAAGTTTTTACTGGATTTTACTGGATAAACTTTTACTTGTAAGAATTTGCCAGTACGAAAAACAGCTGATCGCATGTTGCTGGTTGATATTTAAACTAATAAGGAAACTGTTTGTAGGTTTTTATTGTTGAATTTCACAAAATAAACCTATTTAAATACAAAATATATTGTTTTATTAGGAATTTGCTGCGAATAAACAACCAATTTATCAGCTGTTCATGAAACTTGCAAATTATTACTGGAAAAGCGTTCGCGTACTTTATTGCAAATTTTTTCTATGAAAGCGAATTCTTAGAAATAAAGTTACTGGAGAGTTGCTGGCAAGTTACTGGATAATTTGTAAAAAAACACAACTATTTTTCGCTCTCTCAATTTCCCCTACTTTGCAAGTTTTTGCGTACGAAAACGCCAAAACATGAAAATTCGTAAAAACTTTTACTGGATTTTACTGGAAATGAGTAAAAAAACGCAACTAATTGTAAACAAACCGCGGCCATATTTATATGTAGTGATGTATTTTGTGGTACTTATAAAATGCATCACTACAATCACAAAGTTGCATTTTATGGTAACATTAAAAACAATGCAAAATCGACAAAAAAAACTTCAAAATAATATCTATGACTAACAAAATTTACAATAATACATATTTTCTTAGTTATAGTAATGCTTTTTTAGTTATAAATTCCTAAATTTGCCCGAAATTTTTTAAACTTTTCAATAAGATTTATTGTGATTTTTTAACCTTTTTAATGCAACAATGTTACAAAAACGTGCGGTTTGAAATCAGGTGATCTCAGCTGTTGGCATTTTTTCGCTATCAGCTGATAGTGTTTTTACTTATGAAACTGTACGATGGAAATAGGTAATGAAATGAAGTTTACAAATATGTGCTTTATAAATTTAGGTTTAGTTAAAGGGTGAACACACCAAAACTGCGACACTTAGGGCCGGTTACTCAATGTCTGGTTAACACTAATCTCCGTTTAAACATCATTATCGACGTGTTCGACTCCATGCATATAACATGGAGTCGGTAACGTCGATAACGATGTTTTCCCGGAGATTAGTGTTAACCAGACATTGAGTAACCGGCCCTTAGAAATTACTACCAGAAACAAACTAGCAGGCTTTGAAATTATTATTTTTTGTATTATATAACTTGGAAGTTTAGATGTTATTAAAATGTTAAAATATTAGTTATTATTTGCTCCATATGCAAGTGATCGGTATTTTCATCGCACACGCGCCATCATGTTCTGCTCGACTGCATCATCGACTTTACGCGATGCGCACAACTACTTTGTTTTGCACTCTTCAATATTTTTCACTGTTTCACCTGTTTTCTGCAAGATTTCTTTGACAATTGACCAATATTCCCCAATAGGACGTGGCTCTGGGCTATTGGGTGGATTGCAGTCGTGAGCAGTGTTGCCAGAGCTTTTTGGACGAACCGGCTAAATTGGCAAATAAAACCGGCTAAAATGTTTCAACTAAATTTTACATGTTTTACTTAAATAAATCACGAGTAAAAAGACTATTTCTCGGAGAGAAGTTACAAATTCGAGCCGGAAAAAATTTGTAAGTGGGCAAAAATGATGTTTTGTAATTTAGGCAGAATTGAATATGAATTGTCTGGGAAGACAATATCTACATATAATATATATTCTGTTTGTTGGCACTATATTCAAACACAAACGCATCTTAAGTGTCTTAACAGTGAAACAATTTCTTATTTTCTAAGTTTGCGAATAAAACTTCACACTTAAAATTAAGACATTTATGACAAACATTTTATGAAGAAAATCCCTTCTTCGTTTAAAATAAAAATAAGCGAAATCGGCCCAATTTCATACAACCCTGCCTGACATGAAAATTTTCTCCACGATAAGGCTAGTAGCAATTTCTAACAGATTTTGAGTCGCTTAGTCAAAAATGGAAACATATGTATACACATATTTGAAATTTAAGAAAACAAGGCAAATAGCAAAATCGCCTAAAAACGGCTAATTTTTTGCTGCAAAACGGCTAACAAATCGGCTGCCGGCTAAATCGAAATTTCTCCGGCTGTTTGCTATCGCAACCGGCTAAATCTAGCCGGAAAACGGCTAAAATGGCAAAACTGGTCGTGAGGTACAAAATTGATGTTATTTGCATTATACCACGGCAATGTGTCCTTGGTATAGTGGCAGGTTCCCACGTCCGCCTAGAACAGTGGCCTACTCCTTATCTGTTGATAACAGAAAACGCCTTTTGAGGCACTCATCCCGATAAACTTGATCATTCATTGTCCCGGATGAGAAAAAAGGGATGCTCTTACGGCCACAGGATCAAATAGCTTGCCAAACCATGTGGTTTTTTGGAAATTTGGACTTCATTTTCAGCTTACAACTTTCAGGGGCATCTTGACGACTTGCACCAGTATAAAAATCTTGACCTGCAATATATTTTGAATTTTTATAGCATTAGGTTTCGTAGTCCATAACAATGCAGTTGAATTTTTTAATTTAGAATTCATACAACTTCCGAATGCGGGATTTCGCTGTAACATTCTATTTTGCGCCTCGGTCTGGCGCTGTTTGAGCTGTAGAAAATCTCAATGAAGCTTTCCGCTTTACCTTTTGTACGAAAAACTGCGATCTGCGTACGGATTTTGCAACATAACGCGACAAAATCTTCGGATTTCGCAAAAACGCACTGAGGACCTTCCGAGCACTGTTTTTATCACTTTGACCATGCTAACCCCCGCTCCCTGGTTTTCTCGTAACTGCCAGGCCTTATTTGTAGCGATTAAAACCCTGCAAACTGTCGAATAGTGCAATCTTTAATTTTTTAGCAATTTTACGTGTACTTAAGGCCGGATCATTTATAAACTCGTGCAAAATGGTTTGTCTCGTTTCTAACTTGGCTGCCATTTTTAACTCAACTAGGAATCAAATTCAAATGAAATTTCTTCTATGTCCAACTAAGGTCATGTGGTCAGCTTATGGTATTTGAATTTCCAAATATTGAATTCGTTTTGGGTAAGTTATAAGCTTCCCAAAGTGTCGCAGTTTTGGTGTGTTCACCCTTTATTAAATTAGATATGTAAATGACAATGCGGCGGACAAATATGCACATGAGTAGCGAAGCTGCCACCCATCCAATGGCAACTTACCGGTGTTGCCAACTCCAAAGATACGAAAATCCCATTCTCCTTTGAAAAACGCCCTGTTTATCCCATTTTAAAATTCGAAAATCCCATTTATGAATATTAAATATTCAAAGTTTTTAAGAACAATATATATGAAGAGTAGATACAGTGACTGAAATAAATGACCACGTGTTGATTTTTTTTTTTAATATTCGTAAGGTTTGTCGAGATATTTGTTTTTGGTATTTTTCTATAAAAATACCGTCCGAGGTTTAACCGAAATCATATCACAGATTCACACTTTATAAAAAATTTAGGAAATCTAAAAAAATTTTCGTAAAAATGTCAGTATTTTTGAATCTAATGGCCTTATTCATATAATAAAATAGGTTTAAAGCGCTTTACAGAGTGACATTTTCATACAAATTTTCGATTTATAAAGCAGTTAAAATGTTCTTTATTTTTTATGAATTTGGGTGTAAACCTTTAAAACATTTTTGGGTATACAGTTTTATAGCCCCAACAAATTTAGTGTAATGACTATATTCCAGAAAGCCGCTATGCAAGAAATAATTTGACGTAAAGTTTGTCTAAAATGGTAAATGAATCCATCCACTCAGAGAGGTGGGTGTCGTCGTTGTCTCAGCCGTCACTCTTGGGGAAAATGAAAATTTTCTGTGTAAATCATATAGTTAAGTTTTCTACTTTATTAGTTTCGTGTTAAACTGATATTTGAATTAAGATGTTAACAGTTTGAAATTCTGAATTAAGGGTTAAAAAGAAATTACTTAAGGTTTGAGGAAAAACAAGTTTAAATGTCCCAACCGTCGCGTTATATTTGAAAACTGAATAAATATTGTAAATGTTGAAAAATTTGTTAAATAGTTTCGGCTTAGATTAGCGAGATCTTTACTAATTGCTGCGAAAATCCGACGTTTTCAGATTTTTAGTATTTTTAAAAAAAGTTTCCAAGTCGAACATAATTAAAAACTGAATTATTTCCATAAACATCGTAAACATGGAAAAAATTCATTCAGACTTTCGACTTAGTTTAGGGAGATCTCTACAAAAAAATTCTAAGTCGAAAAGATTTAAAAACTTAGTTATTTCCATAAATATCGAAAATTAGGAAAATGTGCTTAAATAGTTTCGGTTTAGTTTAGCACAAAAGATTTTTTCACAGGTTTTGGTTTTTTTTCAAAAAATCCAATACCAATACAGTTTTTTACTTGAAAATATCACAAAAATTGGAAAATGTTATATAATATTTTCGATTTATTTTAACGTTGTTTGTACAAATCACAAATCAAATCATCAAAAAATGCTTCCACAAGAAAACACATACTTATGGGAGTTTTCTATTTGCAATCATTAATAAAATGTCACAAAAATCGGAAAATGTTATATAATATTTTCGATTTATTTTAACGTTGTTTG